ATTTTTCAGCTTAGTCTCCTTTCCCCAGTATAACTATCTTTCTTTCACTGGAAGAATCAAGAATAGTGCAGAATTAAAGCCTAAAACTTACGACCCACAACTTCCTTTGATCACCTGCAGACTGGGTTCATCACTGCTTTACCATTCACTAAAGTGTTTAAGATTGATTCAGGGAGAAGTGAATAGATATGAATAAAGTGTATTTCAAATTTCATGTGTATCCTGTTCTTCATCTCAGTAGAGGTACTACTAATACTCATTCTCTGGTGTGAGATAACCCAGGAGTCCAGTACAGTACTATTTCTAAGAAGGCAGGTAGTCTCTACCTGAAAGAAACAAGGCGTGAGAGTCATCACTGCCTACAGTAGTTTGTTCCAATACTTAGTCATACTCACTGTTAAAAATATATGCTTGATTTGTAGTTGGAATTTGACTGGCTGTAGCTTGGTGACTGTTGGGCCTTTCTCACTCAGTGAAAAAGTCCTTTACCACCTGCACTTTTTCCCTGAGCTCGTATTTGCATGTGGTAATCAGATTACATTTCCATCTCTCATATTTCCATTTACTTGTTTATATGCTATTATAGGCCATCTAACCAAAGGATAAGAGGTTTCCAAAAGGGATTTCTTGATATGATTGAGCATACAAATGTGTTCAAATCAAGATAACCTGCCAGTCTATTTCACATAGGGTGCTTGAAACCTTGAGGCAAAATTTCTCTTGAACTAATGAATTTGTCTCCATTTAGCTTGAAAAGTTTGACCTTTTCAGGACAAGCTATATCACTGAATGCTCTTGGTCTACTTGATGGTGCTGAACCTAGAAAGAAAGCTTTCTTTCCCATTTCTAGTGCCACCGCTCAACAATATTCCACAAAGCTGCACTTGACACTGTTGGGAAACCCCATACCCCACTTGTGAGAGCAGATCACTGAGACAATGGGGAAGAGTTAGTAAGATGTCTGCTTCCACCTCCTGTCCCCTGAAGTTCCAATAACCTCTGTCCAAACTGTTTAATACAGAAGTGATTTAACATGGATTCCTAAATGGTTTTTTGTTTTATGAAAATTTGTCTTTGTGGTAAGCTGACCCTCACAGTGAAGACTGGCTGTGCTAATAAACCAAAGGAACTGAGAGAATTTTCCTCTCTGGTGTCCAAAGGTAAGATGCTGAAAGTGATAACTTTAAACGGCAAACTTGAGGTTTAGCTAATTCTCTGTGGAAGTGCAGCTGTCTTTGGGGAGCCCTTTTGGTGTAGATGCAGAAAACAACAATGAATGTAGCAGATATTTCTACATGACCTTCCTGCATGTAAATGGTCCATGATCAACTGAAATAATCTGTAGACAGTACCAGCAGCAACACACACACCCACATTTCAGCATTTTAAGGAATCAGAGAAGTTAAATGTCTTCCTATGGTTCAAGCAGCTCCTTAGCAAGTACTGATTTCTGTGCAACCTCCTGACCAAAGAAAAGAGGAGCTGACTCCCAGTGCTTTGGACCTCTGGCACAGAGGGAAGCTAGGAGTCATCTGGATGCTCCCGCTTCTTTCCTCTTGCCAAACACTTGTCTCAGTTCATCCGGTCCTCTGAGTCACTTCCTCCACACTTTTCAGTCATCTGCTCTCAGTGCACTTCTCTAAGCAAGCCCAGTCTTCTTTGCACAATCTGGAGCAGGTTTCAAGGGAAGCCTTGGTGGGGGGCAGGCTAGAATATAACCACAACATAATTATAAGGTCAATCTCCTAGGTGCTGTGGCCTGTGCAGGAGTTCTGGGCAGGAACTAAATTGCATTTTAGTGATCTTATTTCTGATTTCAAGAGAGCCACCACCCTCTCGTCTCATACCAGCAGGAACTGTGTGCCTTCTGGCTATGACATTGGTCCCAGAACTAGCTTCCAGAAGGCTGATAGGTCATTACATTGCACTGGGTGGAATAATTCATCTCTATGGGACAGCAGTTAATTGCATGAACAAGTTGCTGTGCCCTAGCTAGGTGCAATGCCATGCTGACTTGACTATACCACTTCTATTTCTGAAGCTAGCTCAAAGCCAGCGCGGGGAGCTCTGCACTGTCAGCAACTGCACAGCATGAATGTGGCCTGCAAAAGCTACTGAGACAGGAAACGAAGAAGAGATGGGAAGCAGAAGCTCAGACTAGGCTGCAGAGAGGTGTGTAGTACATTTAGCCCCTACACTCAGCACCCCTGGAAGTTCTTCAAAACACGAGTCATATTTTATTTACCTACATGTCTACAAAGGGTGCACAACATCTCTGAATTCCAAGTCAGGTCCTCCAATTTCCATCCTGATATTTACTGCAAGCTTACCTGAACGGAGAGACTCTGGGAATGTGTGCTTTACCTCAGCTTTGCCTACCCTCCAGTACTTGTTTAAAATAAACCATATTCTCATCAGGACTTTCAGGTGTGTGGGTGTTTCCAGGAATAAACAACACCCAACCACAGAACAACCAGGAAGCAGCTTTACAAGCATACTGTGTCACTTCACTGCCACGAAGTGTATGTATTTTGTCTGCCTGTCTCATTATGCCATCCTGCTGGGGTACTTGCCCTGCCATGGGACAACGTGCTAAGGAATGACCACTGCACACTGCTTTTCATGGCATGCTGAAAGCCAGAGGCGAAATTACAGAGCCAGCAATTGCAACCATTAGACAGTCACATTTTGGACAGACCTGTCATGCATATTGCAGGTAGACTGGATGAACTCTGTTAGAGTTTAGAACTGGAATAGTCAGAGGAACAACCAGTCAGAATAAAGTGCATCTGCAACGTATTTATAGGAGTTTGGCATCTGCCCACACAAGAAGTGATGCTATTCCATACGTTTTCTTTCTCTTTCACATACCTCCACATGCAAAATTAATGTATTGTGTTACAGAGTATGTAAATAAATCTTACAAAACTATTTTTCCTTCATTACAAACTTAACAAGTTCTAGGAACCATGGCAGGTCATAAAAAGGAGGAAAACTCACTGACAAATGTGACAGACACTGCCATCTCTGAAAGAATTAAAGTGGTTTTAATGCCCTGTACATCAGACAAGGCCATTGCATAATGTGTCTTAATTTAACTTCCTTGCCAAATTGCCAGACCAAACCATTGTATTAATTTCTGGGGCTAGCACTTACTCAGCAAGTAAAGCAGATCTGTTAGTACACAGAGAATCATGGTGCTTTTCCAGAACCATTCCCATCTTTGGAGATAATTTGATTTTCTCATTTACATGCAGCCTGTTGAGCTATCTGTATGGTCCCAAGATTTTGGATCCTCAGCTGATATGATAGAAAGAGACAGGAGGGAGAAAGTCATGGTAGCTCCATGAGAAGTCAACAGAGCTGGGCCATGTTAAAAGTTTATACCAGCTGAGGTGCCAGCACTCTGATATTCATGTCACCATTGGAAATGAACTTCCAGGAAAGAATTTCATTTCTATCATGCACCTTGATAACTAAAATCCAGCTTTACCACTCCTGCACTACTTGTTGAATGAGTGATTAGCATGGAATCTGCTGTCAGCAGGGACTTTAAGGCTGTGTGAAACCACTTCAAACAGAGCAGATCACACACTGTGCCTTTGTCAAATAATATCTGATGACATTATGATATTTAACATACAATGGGTCTGCAATAACCCACACTGAAAACCACAGGCAGAGCCCAGATCTGGGCTCTTAGAACACGGAAGACAGGGAAAGTTCAGTCTTCAGGAAGGCTGTGATAGCACCGCATACCACCTAAAACAGAAAGTGCATGAGTTTCCTCTGCCACTGTGTGGAAACTTACTTACACAAAGAATTTCTTTAATTGCTCTTTGTTGGCAATGTCTACAACCTCAGCTATGTCTCAGGCTTCAGCTATGATAATCAATTTATCCTTCTCTTTCTCCTTTCCATCAAATGCACACTACATTTCTGACTGATGCAGCCAGCAAACCAGACAACTTTCCTCCCTATACCTGCATTATTTCTCCATCTACATAATTCTCTGTCCCACTCTGGTCTTTCTCAGAGTCAATTCCTGTGTCATGGGATCCTGACTCTCGATTTCTAACTGGTAGAACAGGCTCCAGTGAATAAGAAATGCTAGTAACTTCCTCTGGAAAATCTGTTTTCAGTCATGTCCTGCCACAGACTTCTCAAATATCACTTCCCAGGTTCTGTTGCCTGTAGCAGGTACCTCCTAGACTCAGTCCGCCTCAGATTTCTACATGTTTTCACGACCCTATCGATGTGATCAACAAGACAGCAACTATATCTTCACCAGATAACAAGAGAGAAATCCAAGCTTTCCTAGGCCTCTTGGAATTTTGGAGAATGTATATTACAGGTTATAGTCAGCTTGTGAGACCTCTCTGACGAGTAATCTGAAAGAAGAACCATTTTGAGTGGGGCCTTGAGCAACAATAAGCCTTTGAGCAGATCAAACAGGAGATGACTCATGTGGTAGCTCTTGGGCCTGTCTGGGCAGCACCAGCTGTGCAAAACGTACTCTTGACTGCAGCTGGGGAGTATGGTCTCACCTGGAGCCTCTGGCAGAAAACATCAGGTTGACCACTAGTGTTTTAGAGCCAGGAGAGTATTGAGGATAAGAAGTCCACTGCACCTCAACTGGAAAAGAGATATCAGCAGCATATGAGGGGGATTCAAGCTGCTTCAGAAGTTGTTGGTAGAAGCATATCTTCCCTTGGCACTGTGATTGCCCATGCTACACTGAATGTCCAAAGGAAACATCCCCTCTACATATCACACAACCAGCACTACATGGAGTAAGTGAGTAGCATTGATCATGCAGTGGGTTCAGCCAGGGAAGCATAACTGCCCAGGAAGCCTGGAAGACATCATGGACTGGCCAGAAGGCAGAGATTTGTGCCTTAGGTGGTGGCTTGTGCCCAAGAAGCACCACCATATATAATGAGTTATCAGAAGATGAAAGGCATTATAGTCTGTTAACTGATGGATTTTTCATGTTGTAGGAAGCCATCAGAAGTGGAAAGCTGCTGTATAGAGTCCTACACAGCACTGAAGCTGCAGAAGGAGAAGGTGAGTCAAGTCAGTTTGCAGAAATGAAAGCCATCCAGTCAGCCCTACAGATCACTGAATGGTTAGAGTGGCCAGTACTCTATACTGACACATGCACAGTGGCTAATGCCCTACGGAAGTGGCTACAGCAGTGGAAGACCAGTTAGCAGCACAGAGATAAACCCATCTGGGCTGCTCTACTGTGGCAAGACATCACTGCCCAGGTAGAAAATGTTACTCTAAAGGTGCATAATGTAGATGCTCTCATGCCCTAAAGCTGTGCTACTGAGGAACATCAAAACAATGAAAAGGTAGACAAGGCTGTCAAAATTGAAGTAGCTCAGGTGGACCTGGACTGGGAGTGTAAGAGTGAGCTATTCGTAGCTCAATGGGCCTATGAAACATCGGGATATCTAGGGAGAGATGCAACATACAGATCTGCTTGTGATTGAGGGATGGACCTGACCGTGGAGGTCATCACACAGGTCAATCATGAATGTGGAATGTGCTACAATTAAGTGAGCCACACAAGTCCCCCTAGAATAGAAGGCGGTAGCTGGGTTTTCAATCTGGTGAGGATGGTACTGGACCACTGCCAAGAACATGCCAAGGCAAGCCCTATGTACTCACCCTGATGGAAGGAACTACCAGTTGGCTAGAAATGTACCCTGGAAACTATGTCACTTCCTGAACGACCATCTTGTTTTACCCATGACAGTAACTGCTGAGTGATCTCTCAGTCTTTATCTCAACACATGATCTTTAATTGCATTTTTCTCCCCCTATCCAATTGAGGAGGGGGAATAATTAGGCAGTTTGGTGGGCACATGGCAATCAGCCAAGGTCAATCCACCACACCTTGTCATATGAACGTCTCACTTGACGTCTCCTAGAAACTCTGGCTTCAACCAGAAAGTTGCTCCCAAAACATCTTAATGACATCTTAAATAGTATTTACTTACCAAAAGAATTCAACTGTATAACTTCTGTTTTGGAATGAATTCCTATAGAAATTGCAGAGAGCCACCATTGTGACAGCTTACAGTAGGACTTTTCTTATTTAGAAGATCATTCACTCTGTTCCAAAGTCTCCTTTATCCTATAGAATCTTTTCATTTTTTCACACTCATGCAGCAATCATCTATCCAATGTGCCACATGTCTGCACTTTTACACCACCATAGTTTCCTCTTGTCTTTGCATCAAATTTGAGCACTATATCTTTTGCATTTGAGGCCTCATACTGCTTACACGGTGCCTACTTCTCTCTCCAGCCTTGTGTCTCAATCTCTGCTCACATTAACACCTCATCTTGCTCTCTGTGCCTTTGTCTGAAATATAGCTATGATATCTGTTTACAAGCATCACTAATTCCTACATCAACAGTAAATACTCAGAAAATTAACCAGAATGTTACTGTGATTAGCACACCAGAAACCTTAGAACAATGTGGAGGAGTGTTAAAATGTTACATTAAATTTAAAATATCAAGTGGGGAAAAATATACAGAGCTCCCTCCCACATGAAAGTGTAGTCTGTCAGATAAACCAGGGAGAAAGATGATTCAGCTGTCTTACCTGGTGTTCTTTATGTGATCATTATCAGTCGTTTTTACTTATTTACACAGAACCTTAATCCACATTCTTTTGTTCCAGTAAAAATAAATGCAGACCATTTTTGAACAGCAGTCTGATCAAACAAAATTGCCAGAACATCAGACAAGAGTCGACAGCACAGCTTGCAGATGTTCAAACATGGTGTGCAGTCCTAGCTTCTGAGCATTTCAATTTCCTGCCAGCTTGAATCTGTTTTCTGTCTTCACCTCTTATGGCTCTGCCCTCAGTGCTAATTTTTCTGTCTTGCAGCTTTCAACGACATCTCAGGCCTTTTATCTACTTCTGGGCCACAGAACTGTGCTGGGGAAGTGCTGTAGCTTAAGAGAGGAAAAGAAACTCTGAATCTGAAATTAGTGTATCAGTAAGGAAGTGGGGAGACAGGTATAGTAGCATTATAAAAAGAACAATAACACAACAACAGTGTTGTGAAAAAAAAAAGAAAAAGAAAAAATAAGTTTTTCAGTGAAAGATGTGGGCTGGATTCAATTTCTGTGTTATTTCTGTTGAAAAGTATGTAAAACAAATTTTTCTCTCCCCTCAAAACTCTGTCTGGAAGCCTTGCTCAAGATGAGAACTATGCTGCCGAAGGGAGAAATAATTTAAAATGTCACTCACAGAGAAGACTTGAGATTGCTTCGTTTTTTGAGGGAGACATGAGGAGGAATTTTCTTGGAGGCGATGCAAAGAAGTGACAAAGAAGTAGCAGTAGCAGTGACCAATATGAAGAGTAAGCTTCTCTCTAGCTTCCCAAGACTAAGATTTTGGCTTTAATATTAAACTCAGCCTTGAATAATGTCCTCTGCTTTTACCCCCTCTGAGCTCTGCTGCAGGGTTTATCTTCACTCATCAGCCTCCTGAGAGGAGCCAATGAACGGAAGGCAGATTTGTTGAGTCTGTTTCCTCAGTGCTCTCAGCACAGGAAGCCTGGAGCTCAGAAAAGGCAGAAGGAGGAACCTCTCCAGCCTTGAGGAGCCAGTCGGTCAGGAGCATGCACAGCTAGAGGAGAGGACTGGGAAAGGGGGAGAGAAAAACGCTGACGTTGGCTGCTGGGGATGCATTGGCAGGCAAGAAATACTCCCCCTGACCACAGCTAGGTTGGCGGCAGAATGGATGGTGTGACAGAGCTGCCTGAGCCATGAGAGCAGGAGCCAACATGAAGGTTGCTGGGAAGACTGTCTGTGTTTTTGTGCTGCTCACCATCATCAAGGTCACAGAAACAGTAGGTGAGTCTAAGTGGGGCAAATGAACTGTTGGGAGGGAAGAAAAGGAAATATATGCAGATATTTTATTTCCATAAAAGCTGTGCATCATGCTGTGACTTTCTTTAATTGCTAAAATTATGGAGGAAAACATGCTTCCCAAACATCCGCTCCTGGTGGATATCTTCTCTTCATAACAGTCTCAAGGCTGCCAATCATTAGCACTCTGAACTTCCATGCAAGCAATTATTTAGTGACCCTTAGCTGGGAATGTACAGTTTGTCACAGATAACCTCTTTACTCAGACCTCTAAATCCACATAATCTGAGCAACTGATCCATTTGACTTATTAAAGATATGTACAGGAAAGTGTTTGTCATCTTGAAGCTATTGGCAGTGTTGTTTCTGCTGAAGAGAAGCTGCAGATACTCTGAAACAGGGCAGAGATCTCTTGCATCTTCCTGAGGAGTGGTGAAAGATCACTGATGCACTGACACTACGGGAGAAGCTGCTGGCACTTTGTTCTGAGGCTAATGGGCATGGTCACTATCAAGAACGGGAAAGGCTTTTGTGCCAAAGGCAGTTACACACCTAAGCCTTTCTAACCCTGTCTTTTAGTTGATTTAGTTTTAATAAATTTATGGCAGTTGATGTCTCCCACATACTGTTCATTTGCACTGCTGGAGCTTGTGCTCTTCCAGACACCATGCAGCAGTCTGCAGATTTGGTAATGGAAATAGGGATTTCAGCAGCAGGTCCAGAAACCTAAACTGTCTGTGTGTAGAGGGAGAAGGCAGATAGGTCTATGAGATCCAAATTAAATGAGGCATGTCTCTGAGTAACATGTAATGTGCATGTGTCTGTTCCTATTATGGATGGACAGTTAGAACTAAACTGCCCAGACATGAGCTATTCCTTTCTGCTTGGCCAGAAAATAAAAATGGCTCCTTGGTGATACTTTAAAGCAAAACTGAAGCAGTCATTGTGGGCAGTGAGGGAACATTCATCTACAATGTGTTTAGCTGATCAAGTGGAAGATCCAAAATGGTTACCTCAGTGCTCCCCACGGGAAAAAAATGGAATACTTCACAGACATCATTAAAGGTTGCATCAGTAACCTCACAACAGGAACACTGGAGGGAAAAAACCTGTCCCCTATTCTCTAGGTAAAGAACTATCTCAGGAAAATACTGACGAACCTGCTCAGGGTGATACAGACAGATTATGACACCATCAAAGACAGTCTACATTTTTTAATACAGCTGCTCAAAAAGTGAAGAGTATGAAAACACCACAAAATATTGAAGAAAATGAGGGAGACAAAGGGGAATTCCTCTGGCAGAAGTTCTTTTTAAAAATGGACTTTGTTGGAAATATGGAAAAAATCCAATACCACAAAGTTTTGGTTTTCACCCCAAAAATAATTTGATTGAAACTTCTTGGTGTCTTGGTGAGGCAAAAAAAAAAACCAAACCAGCCGGCATTTGCTGGGAATTTTTTAGCTAACACTGCTCTCAAACTTGCTTCCTTCAATGTTAGGGTGGTTATTCTCAGCAAGATGCAGTGGCAAGGTTTTTTTGTCCTTCAAGATTCACAGGCGTGTGTTGTATTTGAAGAATTGAAGACTAGAGCAAGCTAGTGAATCAAATTAAGTCATCTGAAAAACTGTTGTGCATAACCAGGCTTTATCTGAAATTGTCGTTCTCCTTAACATTTCCTGAGGCTGTTGTTTTGTGTGGTTTGGCCAGTTTTTATAGCACCGGAAGGGGCAGCTCAGAAGCAAGGCTGAGGTCACGTCATGACTGCTGTACCCAGATCTGCCACCAAGTAGAATACCCTACTGAAGTGCTGGTCCATGATCTGTACTAATAATCCTTCTGCCACAATCCTCATAGTAGCAGTAGTGGAAAAGACTCAAATTTTTTATCAGTAAGACTTTGAAGACTTCTCTAGTTCAACTAAGCAGACAGAACACCTTGAGCAGTGGTGTACATACTCCAAAGAAAAGGGAATAAGGGAGGAAAAGACCTTCCATGAGATGTTCATGCAACAGATCTCTTTTTATTGGATTAACATTTGCAATGTTGGACTGTGTAAGTCCTGCATCTGCAGTAGGATTATGTGGCTGTAAATAGGACCAAGTCCTTCAGAAGAAGCTGCGAGAAATCAATTGTCAGCAATGAGATGTGATTCCCTATGATTAGTTGCATTTTATCAATAGTAAAATACCAATCTCAGTAGCATTACATCAGTCCTGGAATTAGAGAATATGAGGTGAAGAAAAATGAAGTAGATTTACAAAGCAGCCTGAGTAGAGTTCAAACTTACCTGCATACCTAACTTTCTGGAATGATACTCTTTCATTTAGTTTATTTCCTTAATATAACTTGTACATTATCTATCACTAGTGTACTAGTTCTTCTCTCTTCTTCTCTTCTCTTCTCTTCTCTTCTCTTCTCTTCTCTTCTCTTCTCTTCTCTTCTCTTCTCTTCTCTTCTCTTCTCTTCTCTTCTCTTCTCTTCTCTTCTCTTCTCTTCTCTTCTCTTCTCTTCTCTGCTCTTCTCTTCTCTTCTCTTCTCTTCTCTTCTCTTCTCTTCTCTTCTCTCCTCTCCTCTCCTCTCCTCTCCTCTCCTCTCCTCTCCTCTCCTCTTCCTCAGTCCTACTTTGTTTCAGTGCTCCTGTCTCTGTTGACTCCTGTTCAAGAATATTGTAGAATCTTGCTCCAGATACATACAAACCATAGCCTAAAAAACTATTCTGATACACTTAGATTTGTCTCCATTTCTCTATTTCTTTGCTGCTCCTTTGGGTCTATGTGCTGGAATAATTTTGACTTCTTTTACTCTAAAAACTCCTGAACCCAAACAGCTTGTTTTTCTTACCCAAATGCTTAAAACAGAATTCTGAACTATTAAATTAGGCCAATATTTATCAGAAAACATCTTAATTGCCCTATATAGTCTTCAAAGCATGTCCTTTGCTTTGCTGTGGTCTAAGCACAGAGTCTGAATGTATCTAGTTTCAAAACCATGGAAATGAGGAAGCTCAGCCTTACAAGCTGCCCACATACCCCATGACTGCAAAGCAGATTTTCTTTAATTAAGGCTGCACTTGTAGAAGTACATGCTACTTAAAGCTCAGAGTTGACATATTTTGTATGTAGAGGTACAATCATTGATAGGAAAAAAAGAAGAGGGAATCTTCTTATGCCAACTTACCTTTGTTTTGTGTAGGAAAATAATAGGAAATAAAGTACTATGCTAAAACTAAACACTGAATGATGCATGACCGACATTTTAACCATATAAAAGTGAGGTTATAAGCAGGTTTTCACAACAGCCCCTTATCTGCTCTCTGCAAAGTATGAAAAACAAGGCATACAACCTAATATTCGCAGTCAACAATATCTTTTTGTTTAGAATAGCAGAAAAATGACACTTAAGCATAAAAAGTACAACTTATTTCATTCTTCTCATGAGGAAGAGAGTAAAAAGCTAAGTTCAGCATGCAGAACAGAATATAAGATATTCTGTGTCTGTTTCTATACTAAGAAGGATTTTGCACTTTGTTATACATGCTGTCACAGTACTACTCTAAAATAAATCATAGAATCAGAACTATTCAGGTTGGAAAAGACCTTTGGGATCACCGAGTCCAACCACCATCCCTACTCTACAAAGCTCTCCCCTAAACCAGATCCACCAACACCACATCCGAACAACCCTTAAACACATCCAGGGATGGTAACTCAACCACCTCCCTGGGCAGCCTATTCCAGTGTCCAACCACTCTTTCTGTGAAAAAAATGTTCCTAATGTCCACTCTAAACCTCCCCTGTTGCAGCTTGAAGCCCTTCCCTCTAGTTCTGTCACTAATTACCTGTGAGAAGAGACCAGTACCAGCCTCTCTACAACGACCTTTCAGGTGGTTGTAGAGAGGGATGAGGTCTCCCCTCAGCCTCCTCTTTCTCAAACTAAACATTCCCAGCTCCTTCAAGCATTCTTCATAAGATTTACTCTCTAGGCTCTTCACCAGCTCTGTTACCCTCCTCTGTACTCACTCCAGCACCTCGAGATCTGTCTTGAATTGAGGTGCCCAAAACTGGACACAACACTCCAGGTGTGGCCTCACCAGTGCTGAGTACAGGGGGACAATCACCTCCCTACTTCTGCTGGTCACACTATTTCTAAGACAAGCCAGGATGCCCTTGGCTTTCTTGGCCACCTGGGCACACTGCTGGCTCATATTCAGCTGCTTGTCCATTAGAACCCCCAAGTCCTTTTCTGCCAGACACTTTACAGCCACACTTCCCCAAGCCTGGAGTGTTGCATGGGGTTGTTGGATACTACCCAAGCCACTTTCTCATGTGGTGTAAATCCTTTTCCCCCTCATCCATTCCAGCTCACATTCTGCAAGGATACAGATCTACTTACTGTGCACACAGAAGTTGCTATATCAAGTTCAAAGTTTCCAGCCAGGCTGATGTATAGATGTGACAGCTTGTTAAGCGCAGTGATGTTTTGTTATCAGTTGAAGATCTGGCTGATGATGTTTGTTCAACAAGCTGCATAACTCTAATACATCATTTAAACACTGATAGATTCCTTCATTAAAGAAGTGTACCCACCGTTTTTTTCTAGAGAATCATGTTTGTATTGAGACATAGCCCATTTATGTGAGGGTAGAAACAAAACCTCAGAAAGCACCCTTACATCACTGCATTAAATTGCCTTTTTTTTTTTGCAGGCATTAGTTCATGAAACAATTTGTAAACAATCTGAGCACCAAAAAAGTCACTCACCCTATTGAAAGGGTGGTTTTAATCCTGCTCGAGGCAAAATTCTCAATTCTGTTTTCCATTCCAAGCTTCTTGTACTGTCTACTTTTATTGTTATTACATTTTAGGCTGCTGAATTTCAGCACACACCTACCACTCTACGCATCAAGGTCACCTGGTTCTTGTGTGACATTCCCATTCTTTATATCAATAACGCTACATTCTTCCAGCTTTCAACAAATTTCCTCACACACTTC